CCTTACTAGTAAGAAGAAGCTACTAGGAACAAGAAGCTACTAGGAACAAGTGCCACGCTACTAGTAACAAAACGAGTCTCCGCCTGCTCCCGGAGGTCCATCTCCATTCGAGCGTCGTGGCGGTGCACCTGTCGACTGCGGGCGAAGAGTGGCGAGTTGAACAGAGAGGATTGAACAGAATGGAAGCGATATGACGCATTCGGAAGTGAAAATGGTTTCTGAATGTTGGTTTATAGTGAGAGAAGACACTCATATGGGCGCCACGGTGTTTTGCGCACTTGAGAGACTTCGACTTCAGCTGCAGGGTCGAATGAACGCGAAACCAACATGGCACAGCACAGCACAGCAAAGCTACCAAAGCTTGTGCCCAGCAAAGGCCGAACTTGGCGAAAAGGCGTCGTCTTTTCGGCCCTTTGATTGTCCAAATCATGAGTAGCCAGGCCAAAAGACTGAAGCACACCAAACTACCAACGATTGTGAAAGGGACTGCATCTGTGCATCTGTTGATGTCTGTTGTTAACATGCGGTAACCAACCACCGACGGAATGCCATCTTCGACAGTAAAGCTGCCCTTGGACAGCCTCGAAATGCAGGTTCAGTGGAGTCTTCGCGGTCTCTGCAGAGCGGACTGGTAGCATCAATGGAAACGAGAGTTTCGCAGGGCAGAAATGGCCCGGACTTCTTGTAGTCTTCAGCTGTAGCCGAAAAAACAATGCATTCGAGGAAAGTACCAGATTCGATGGTAACAAATTCGGTGTCTCTGAGATTGACCCATATGCGAGTTGAGAGCAACGTGCGAACGCGTAAGATCGCATTGCGCGCACGAGTGGGGGTAAGGTGAATCTGATCTGACCTGAGCCCTGGAAGCACGATTGCAGAATGATAGCGTGATGTAGTCAAAAAGGAAAGGCTTTGAATTGCGCGCATCCGAAGAAAAGTGCAGCGGGTAAAGCCGTCAGTTTCGGAGGCAAACTATTTTGAGTATCCGTTGTTTTGGAGACCACTTCTGTAAGACAACTGCATCCTTCGAAGACCGCCGCGCGCATGTGAGTCACTGTGGATGGGACGAATATGCGTTTCAGAGCCGAACAGAAGCTGAAGGCTCTTGCGCGCAGTGCACGCAGTCCAGGTGGCAAATTGATCAGTCGCAGGTTCGAACAGTTACAAAAAATTCTGGGCCCAATGTAGCAGATAGTCGAGGCAAAACCACGATTAGTCTGAAGAAGACTGAGAGTAGAGGTTGAAAGCGGTTTAGAGAGCACACACATGAGAGCAAACTAGAGTTTCAGAGGTCTACAGAGGTCTAAGAGCACACATCTGAGAGAACAGTCATCAGAGCACGCATCTGGGAGCACAGGTCAAGAGGTCGGGAAAGTGGTGTAGAGAGCACACATATAAGAGCAGGCTAGAGTTTCAGAGGAGTCTAACAAGGTCTATAGAAAGCACACACACATGAGAGCAGGATAGACTTTCATCTGCACTTCGAGGTTCACAACGCGCTGCGCCTCCCACGAAATCTGCACTTCGAGGTTCACAAAGTGCTACGCCTGCCACGAAATCTGCACTTCAAGATTCACACGCGGCAGTCCTGACAAGGCGCTTTGCCGCAAGAGCGCTTCCAAAGACAACATCAAGATACCTATAAACGCAGCTTTCGCACGAGACTTCCCCCCATTTCTCGATTCACTGCGCCTGTCACGAAATTAGAGCGCGTCGAAGATCACCACCACGTCCCCTCCAAAGTGCTGTGCCTGGCATTTCAAAGTATACAACCGCTCCGATCCCTGCGCCTTTCACGAAAAGTCGAGTTTGCGCCACCAAAACACGAGGCTTCCCTTGCGCTTGCCATGAAAAGTGACCATCATGTCCGAAAGTGCGCGCGGCGCCACAACGAGAGCGCAGTCGCGACAAGCGCGCGCTCCAGCCAACAGATTTTGCGTTTGGAGAGGTATGAATGTATTGTAAATAGCAGCGAATAAGCCGGACACAGACGCGTGACACCTCGATTTAGACACCGGCGCTATCCGCTGCTTAACCCCTAGCGTAAGAACCCCTAGTGTGACCACACGGTTTGAGCAAAAAAGGTGACTAAGCAGGAGGCGCGCAAACCCCGCTGCGTGTGGCCTATTCTGAATGTTGCTGGGCGTTTGGCTTGCGCAGCGCAACGCCCTCTTCTCGCAACATAACGACCATAACGACATCGACGATTTTTCTGAACTGCCAGAAACGGTCTGCCGCCTGGAAGAGTCCAAGTGGCCGAGACGCCTCAAGAGCACCAAACAGATGCCCTTTCCACGAGCGGAGGTCGAAAATTGAATTCAACATCAATGTAGTTTCACAAGACCGGCCCTCTACCCAGGTCCCTGCGTCCCGCCTAAGCTTTTCTCTATTCGCTTGAGGAGGTCGCTATACCGCATCTATAACACGCTCCACCGACGCTGGAGGAGTTTCAATGACCCCTCTACAAGGAGCGTTACCTGCAGGTTCGACATCTCTTTGTTGAATTCGAGCAATTTTTTTTCGCAAAAAACTCCCACACCTTGAGTAGTTTTTTGTTGTTTTAATATGTCTGTTTTTCGCCTTTGTTACCCTTCAAAAACCTTGCTTGCCTGGAACGACTAACTACCACTACTACTCCGTACGACTGCTGCTACTACTACTACTACTACTACTGCTGCTACTACTACTACTACTACCACCACCACCACTGCGATCTTAGCACCAGTGCTTCTACTACCCTAGTACTACTACTACTACTACCACCGCCGGAGATGGACGAAATACACTGGCGTGCCGAAAGTTGCGCTTCTTAACTTCTAAAACATCACAAACCCTTTCCCCTTAGAATCCTACGTGCAACATGTCGACACCTAAGTTGCGGTCAGATTTCCACACCCGTTTAATGTATAATACTTATAATAAGGCTTTCACTTATAATAAGGCTTTCAGGTGTGGAAATCTGACCGTGCTGTACCTGCCAGGCAACATGGACGTGTTAATCCGGTCCGCTGTAGACCGCAAGTGTCATGTTGGAACACAGTAAGAAGCGTAAACTTTAGGGTTCTTGAAGTATTCAAACCCTTCAAACCGCTTGGACGCCTTCCACCCCAAAACTCAAAGACTGTTTCGGCGAATGGGCGAAACAAATCAAACCCTGGCAACACGAATTCAAAAGTCGCGTTCAACATTGACCTTGGTGACAGTCATCAACTGAGGGTTTGAATATTTGGTTCATCTATTGTCTCAAGGTGCGTGCGACGTTTGCTTTTGGTTTTCAAGTCTAACATCTTTGTCCGTAGTACTCTTTGCTTTCATCTTCTGTGACACGAATGCGATACTGAAGACTTTAAATAATAGCATGTGGAAAATGAAAACTTTCATCACTTTTAGAAGATGTCTCAAACGCAACCGTCATTTTAGTTTCACCACACTCTTTCCATGCGTTGTCCCAGTGCCTTTCCAACTCTTTTTCATTGCAGCAAAATCACTGGCCGGCACGCGCAAACTTCGAAAAGGTGCTGGAAAAGGCATGGGAAAAGGCGCTGGAAAGGTGTTGGGAAAGTACATGTCAAGGTAGCAGGGGGACGAAATACTCAAACCCTTCAAACCGCTTGGACCCCTTCCGCCCCAAAACTCAAAGTTAGTGAGCCTGCCAGAGCGTTTCGGCGAATTGGCGAAACAAATGCAACCCTGGCAACGCAAAATCAAACTATACTCTAGAGCTCGTGCTACTACCAGTAGTAGCAGCCAGGGCTACTGCAAACTACTACCACTACTGCTACTGCTACTACTACTACTCTACTACTACTACTACTCCTGCTACTCCTGCTACTCCTGCTACTACTACTACTACTACTACCACAGCTACTGCTACTACTATTACTACTACTCCTCCTACTACCACTACCACTACTACTACCACCACCACCACTACTACTACTTCTACCACTACTACTACCACCACTACCACTACCACAGCCACTACCACTACCACTACCACTACCACTGCTACTACTACTACTACCACTACTACTACTACTGCTACCACTACTACTACTACTACTACTAATACTACTACTACTACTCCTACTCCTACTACTACTACTACTACTACTACTACTACTAGTCTCGGGCTTGCATGCAAGCTGGTGAAGAAGACGCGTCGAAAAGATGTCATAGTCAGAGTTCCCATCGAATACGTTGCTTCCTTGCAAGCAAGTACGGCCCATGTATTTTGCTGAGGGCTTCTGTCCAGAAGTTCGCTACCTTTCAACGCGCAAAACTTGAATTATATTCGGCCAATGTGCACCTTTTCTCCTCCTACATTCTTTCACCCTTTCATTTTCCGATGTTCCATATAGAGCCTATCCCGTTCCTTGTCGAGGGTTTCTACATGCAACTTTGCTAGAGCCTATCCCGTTCCTTGCCGAGGGTTTCTACAGGCAACTTTGCAGCCGCAGTTGCTTTGCAAGAACAGTTGTACCACGGCCGCAAACAGACTGACCAGCGTTAGCTTCGTCTGTCAGTTCTTGGATCTTGTCTACGACCATGCGTTGCATGTCGCTGCAGTGAGATTCACATACGACATTTGTTCCACGGGCAAAGCCGGAACAGTTCTACCACACGCCAGCGGGGTCAGTGGGGAACCCCAGTACCCTCTTAGAGCCCTTCGTCTCCCAAACCAGTCGAACCCCATCATACACTGTCACACTGTCCAACCGGATTAAGGTGTTCCGTCTAGGATTTTATGTGGATCAACTCTTGGGCCATAGTACTGCTTTAAAACGATGTTTCTCTTCCTTCTTCTCGTCGCATTTTTCCTTCTACTCCTTCAAGTTGCTTCGGCGCAGCGTCTACAATGGCTGGCGATTTGTCTTATTCGCTGGGCGCGTGATTTTGTTCTTCCACTTCTGGCACCCTTGGCGGTTGAAATGTTTCACCGCTCTGGGTTCACGGTTCATGGCCTTCGTCGTCGCCAGTGGGTTGATGGCTGGTCATCATCTCCAGGAGCATATTCCATGTCTTGGAGGTGTGATGCGGGATAGATAAGGTCGCCATCTGGTAGGGCGCGACGTTTAGTTCTAGTAGTTCTCAAATGTTTTCTTCCAGAAAGTAATCACGCCTGACT